AATATTTTAATGAGGGTTAGGAGGCAATTGAATGTCCTCAGGAAATGAAATAATATGCGTAGACTTGAGGCTTAGGAAAAGTCATTCTGGAATTAGAGTGAGAGATGGATATAAAGGTATGACTCTAGTCAGGGAAAGTATACGGGGACTCTTTCTGTATTTGAGGTAAGATAAACTGAATCTGTACAATAGGAAGAGATAAAAAGCTTACTCAATAAAATGACATTAAAAAATGACTCTAGAAAATGACAGTAAGTAAGAACAATCACTTCCACAGAGCTTATTTGGCTCCAGGTAAAATTCTAAAAACTTTTCATATATTAACTTTTTCAACCCTCATCCTATAAGGTAGTCACTATTATCTCCAGTTAACAGATAAAAAACTGAGACTTAAGAGGGCAAGTAATTTGCCAAGGTCACACAAGAATCTAGGCAGACTGGCTTCAGCATCTCTACCCTTAACCATTAGGGAACAAAGGGCCTTTGGTTACAAGCCTGGGCAGTTCAAAGAGTAGTTCTTAGATACTCAGACCTAGAAGTATGCTGGGCATAAGTGGAAAATAGGATAGGGTTAGTAGAGAGAAAAGAATGATGACTTTTATTTTGGCTGTGCTAAATTTAAGTGAAACTGACCAACATATACAAATGTCTCTTGTCTGGGCTTCTACAACCAAAGAAAGTAAGCTCTTCCATGCTACATTTTTGGTAACCGATATTTAGTGTTAGATCTAATATCTTAATGATCTGATTTTTTACTCAACTTGATTCTAAATTTTTCTCTACAGTTTCCACCTTTAATTATATTCAACTTTAATGATCAGTTTTCTATGTGTGGAAGCCTATGTCTCTAGTGCCCTATGAAATCCCATTGATTAGTTACTTTTTCCCACTACTATGGCAATGTGAAAGCATCTGATTTCTGCAGTCAGTTGAGTGGTGCTACATTAAGTTTACTCCAAATATTAATAACATGGAAATAACATGGCCCTAGAGAAACATTAAAATTACTGTCATAATTTGTATATGATAAATTAGAATAGAACTGTCTTAGTCTGTTCAGCTGCTATAATAAAATATCACAAGATGAGTGGTTTACAAACAATAGAAATTTATTTTTCACAATTTGGAGGCTGGAAAATCCACGATCAAGGAATTGGTAGATTTGGTGTCTAGCGAAGGCCTGTTTCCTTCTTGACACTTTCTTGCTGTGTCCTCAACATGATGGAACAAGTTCCTTTGGGCATATTTTATAAAGGTACTAATCCTATTAATGAGGGCTCTGCCCTCATCACCTAATCACATCCTCAAAGGCCCCACCTCTTAATACTATAACCTTGGAGGTTAGGAGTTTATCATATTAAGTTTTGTGGGGAAACAAACATTTCAACCATAGCAAGAGGTATATAAAACCACCTAAGGAGACAAACATCACCCTTAGGCAGGCAAGACAGGCCAGATCCTGAGTTGTTACAGGTAGTTTGACAGGCATGAGTAGGGCAGGAGAGGGCTGTCCCTCACCCAGTAGAAACATCAGGTGATGGTTTGGCAATTATCACGTTGCCTCTTTGAAAGTGATAAATTGAGAGCCAGCACCAGGGAAAGGCCATTTCCTGATGGTTTACACCGTTGCTCTAAAATGTTAATTGAATGCAGACACCAAGGAGAAGCAACTTCCTGGGCATGCACAGTAAGAGACAAAATGGTGGAGTATGACATTCCAGGGGCACACCACCAGAAAAGGGAAGAAAGCCTCAGATGGGCATGCGTACAACTTCCTAAACACACTGTGCGTGCTCAGCTCCCACAGGTAAGAAGGGCACTGTGTTTGTGGGCAGCTCATCCTAAGGGAAGAATCGTGGGAAAGAGGCCAGCCTGCAAAGTCCTAGGATCAAGGTTAAACACAGTAGTTGACCTTCAGGTACCCACTTGGATCTCTTCCAAGTGAACTTTCCTTTCTTTCCTGTTCTAAAGACTTTCTAAATAAACTTCCACTCATGCTCTGAAACTTGTCTTCATCTCTTTTTCTGCCTTACGCCCCTCAGTTGAGTTCCACCTTCTAAGGAGGCAAGAACTGAAGTTGCTACAGACCCCTAAGGATTCGCCGCAGGTGACTCGGATACCTTCCACTGGTAACATACTGATTTCATTAATATGTATAATCGATGAATCTAAAGTAAAGTGTCCCTCCCACAGGTAGTTACTCAGCTTTGAAATGTTGAAAAAGAAAGGTCAGGGAGGACATGTTTATTAGTCCCCTCTAGGAATTTCGTGAAAAGAGTGTTACGGTCTCACTGGCAAGATGAATGCATTAAACTGTCTGTCTAGTTTCATTAAATATTTAGTCTTCATACCCCTTGTTATGATTCCAATGACCAAAGAACTTCATAACTATAATTTGTCTTCCAAGAAGAGGTCTGCCTGTAGGACAAAAATGTTATCATTTACCATGTGAATAAATAACTTCGTCCTGACTTGTACAATAAGACATAGCTTCAACTCCCCCCCGAAAGCCTTTGTGTGGACATAGGTAGAAAATTCCTAGGACCCATATTATAGAGGCAATAAAGGGCGAGTTGCCTTTCTGTTGTAGCATAAATTTCAAGGCCTTCAATAAAGTCTTGAGGCCCAGGTGACAGGGTTTCTGATTGGAGAGTTGTTACTTTATATGGTTATATACGTTGTTTTCTTGGTTGCTAACATGGCTGAGGATGGAGAGACTTCAGTTTTTCACTCCTCCAAAGTGACAAATATCTCACTCCGCATGAGCTACTGAGATCACCAAACATGAACTATAGGCAGTGAAGACTACTACTTCAAGTGGCAGAGATAGCTAGATGTTGACCAAAATAGTACTTTCTTTGCATGAAGTACATTTTCGCTGGCAAGAAGTTTTCCTGCAAGGACTATTTCTTAGCCACCCCTTCCCTGACCCCCACAGTTAGATGTAATCATGTGACTAGCTACCATCAAATGAAATTCAAGCATAAGTGACGTGTGTCACTTCCAGGTCAAAGCTTTTCAGAAAGCTTTTCAGCATTCTCAACTCCCTGTTCTTCCTCAGTCACATGGACTCAGTGACTATAAGGTCCTGGAAAACAACACAATCACAAGATGGAGAAAGCCTGGAACTGAAAACCACTGCAAAGAGGTACTGTTTTATGAATGAAAAATAAATATATATTGTGTTTGAACTTTTATAAATTGAAATATTTATTTGTTATAGCCATAGCATTACTCTAACATACCATGAATATATCCTCTGTACTGCTTTGTAGTATCTAAGAATAAACTACTAAAAGCATCCCTGAATTGAGAGCTATGCTGTCATTCTCTCACATCCTCAAATCCATATGAAATTCTTTGATCTTATCAGCAAACATGAGAAGTGTATCCTCATTATAGTTGATCAGTGGCTTGGCATTCTAGTTTTTGCATAAATTGCTATGAGCTTGCTCTACGTAGGTCTTAAAGAGATGATCTACTCTTGGATGGCTGACAGATTCAAATCTTTGATGCTGGAAAACTGCAGGACTCCATCCTAGACTATGAGAAATTCTTCAACTGCAAATGTTACCTCTCATTTCCCTCCTACACATACCTGGGAGGTACTTGTTTTTTCTATTTCTTTCATAAGTTCCTGACTTTAAAGACAAAGGGATGGCCCAGCAGTCAAAAAGCACAAACTATTATGGCCAACCAAAGGTGGGCAAATAATAAGAAAAACACACTGTAAATATACAGTGTACCCCTCACTACTCAAAAGTGTTTTCTGAAGACCAGAGGCATCAACATCATAGAGAAGTTTGTTAGAGGTTGGCTGGGCATGGTGACTCACGTCTGTAATCCCAGCACTTTGAGAGGCAGAGGCAGGTGGATCACAAGGTCAGGAGATCGAGACTATCCTGGCTAACACGGTGAAACCCCATTTCTACTAAATATACAAAAACAAATTAGCCAGGTATGGTGGTGGCCACCTGTAGTCCCAGCTATTTGGGAGGCTGAGGCAGGACAATGGTGTGAACCCAGGAGGCAGAGCTTGCAGTGAGTGGAGATGGCATCACTGCACTCCAGCCTGGGTGACAGAGTGAGACTACATCTCAAAAAAAATAAAAATAAAAATAAATAAGTTTCTTAGAGGCAAAAGTTCAGTCCCCCGCCCAGACTTCTAAAAAACAATGGGCAAAGTAACAAGACCCCCAGGTAAAAATAAAAGTCAAATAAGTTTCTTAGAGGCAAAAGTTCAGTCCCCGCCCAGACTTCTAAAAACAATGGGCAAAGTAACAAGACCCCCAGGTGATCTATGTGCTCATTAAAGCCTGAGAAGCACAGGTTTCCCCTCCCAACCCTTTTCCTACACTTCTACCCCTTTTCCAAGGTGAAGGTCGGTAGGTGTATGCAATCCACTTAGAGCTGCTTTGTTACCTGGCTAGGCCGCACGGAAAGTTCAGTCCCCTGCCTAGACTTCAAAACAATGGGCAAAGTAACAAGACCCCCAGGTGATCTATGTGCTCTGGCTAAAGCCTGAGAAGCACAGGTTTCTCCTAACCCTTCTTTTCCTACACTCTACCCCCTTTTCCAGGTGAAGGGTTTATAAGTGTGTGCAATCCACTTAGAGCTGCTTTTGTTACCTAAGAAGCCGTTAATGGAGGAGAGAAATCAGTCAAAAAAACCTGACATCACCTGTCTGGCGAAGGAGCCTAAAAGTGGGTTCAAAAAGATGAATTCCCCAAAACAGGCTTAAAGTCCTCCTCTCCAATCTAACCTAAAGCTCCAAAAAGCCTCTGAAGTTTGCAATAGGCACTTCCTTTTTCCCTTGCACTCTCTTTCCTCCTCATAGGTTGACCCAGTAAGTGAGATCACTCCATGAAAGCCCAGCCTTCAACCAAGTGGGCCAGCTGAGCTCACCTTCCTTTTCCTACCAGAGGCACTTATGTCCCCTGTTTAAGCACATGTGGAAATTTGCATTAAAATCTGAAAGTCGAAAAAGACTCATACATTTCAGAATAAAATAAATGTTATTTTATTTGTATTCACCAAGATTAAAATAAATAAGTTCAGGACATTTTACACAGTTAGAGGTTCCTCTAATCCCTGTATTATCACCTTCTGCTATGGAGTTCCAAGACTATAAAGTGAAGGTGTGAGGAAGCAGCTACATTTACACCTATAAGAGGAACATCTATAACAACAAGCAGATTGTTTTACCTAGGAGCCACTTCTCAATATCACTTCATGGTTTTCTTTCTTCCTTTCTCTCTCCTTCCTTTCTCCCTTCTTCCTTCCTTCATGACTTAAAAATATAATCTCAGGCATTTATAAAAATGAACGCATTCCAGATAATTAAGATGATCAAAGATCTATTTATTGCTTTTAAAATTCCAGATCTTTTAGGAAATTTAGTTTACACCTGATCCAAATCCATAGCTTGGAATTCTTTCAAACTCATTCCGCTCTGGGAGACCCTGATTTCCAAAAGAATTAATAGGTAAAAGTTATAATCTCCAAGATTTTGTCATCATCAAAATGAAATAGGCATCGGTGTCAACAGAAGCACTGACACCTGCATAATAATTCAAAAAGTCTTCTTTCGAAACCTGAAGAAAAGAAAAAGGCAAGAAAAGAAAGAAGGAAATGGTGTCAAAATATGTGAGTCATAGCAGAGCATTTTACATTCTCCAAGATATCTTCTATTGGGTGTCATTTGCCACTGTCAATCAAGCAGATTCGAGTCAGGCAAGGAGAGCCTGGCTTGCCTGTCCCTGCTGAGATGGCTCACTGAGCTGGGACATGTGCAAGGGTAGCCAAAGATTCACCTGCTCACTGGCCACATACAGTTCCCTCATGGCCATCACTTTGTACATTAAGATAAGATTTCTAGATCTCTACTGTACTATCCAATATGGTAGCCACTAGCCGCATGTGGCTATTTAAATTTACACTGATTAAAATATACATATTTACAAATATATATTTTATAATATATGTTTTATGAATATATTCATAATATAGATTATAAAATATATTTTATATTAATATTAACATACTAATTAATATATTAATTAAATTATGTATTTAATGATTATCAAATTAATAATTATTAAATTTAAATATTAATATAGTTATAATCTATATTATGAACATATTTATATTTTATGAATATAGTCATATTTTATATTTATGAGTACATTCATAAAATGAATACGAATGTATTCATAAAATATAATGAAAAATTCAGTTTCTCAGTTGCGCTAGCCATATGTGGCTAGTGGCTGTCATATTGGAGAGCACAGATATAGAACAATTCCACAATTTTAGAAAGTTCTGTGGGACAGCAGTGCTCTAGAATGGACATTGTATAACCACTCTCATGACTATTAATAGCATTTTAGGGTGTAGAAATTTACAGCATAAATGAACAGATAAAAAGTGCTTTAGTGAAAGGGAGTCTACACAAAACACACAGGTAGGAATAGAACTAGAGAACGGGTACTTCCCAGAATCCTTGTGCACCCAGAAGTACATGATGCCTGACATTCAGTGGCAGAGCACAGAGGTACTAGCCCTATAGGAGGTACTGGAAGGTTAACTCTACCCACTTCTCAATTTGGCCAGGATGCATATTAACACTTTATGGTTGGACTTGTGCTTCCTATGCTGGGCAATGAAGGTAAGAGCAAAGACACAAAGAGTAGGAATCAGCCTCTAAATTCCATCTCTCTCTCCTCCCTCTTAACCTCCCCAATTCCTTAATACCAGCATATACAGTCATACTATTCCCACAGTCCTAGAAGCACCACTCAAAGACTGGGCATTCTGGAAACTTGCTCGGTCTGCTAGATGGAAGTAGTTCATCCCTGCAAGAAAGTAATATTAACATCAAGTGTTCAAACTTTCATTCTTGGCTGTCAAAATAATAGTTTTATGAGTAATTATGTTTTGCTCTTTAAAGAACATGAGCGAGTGTGAACTCATGAGCGAATGTGAACAGGGCTGAATGATTTTCAAAGAAGAAATGTCATCACCTGTAACTGAAATATCACACAAATAACGTTTTTAAATGATCCAAAAGCACTGTCAAGGAAGTATAATACTTTCAAAGAAGCATGATATGTTACGTGTTTGCTAATAAGAAGAAATATTTTTTTGGAAACACTTTAAAACTGAAATACAAATCAAAACCACAATGACATACCACCTTACTCCTAAAAGAATGGCCATAATCAAAAAATGAAAAAAAAAAAATAGATTTTTTGGTGGGGATGCAGTGAAAGGGGCACACTTTTACACTGCTAGTGGGAATGTAAACTAGTACAACCACTATGGAAAACACTATGGAGATTCCTTAAAGAACTGAAAGTAGAATTACCATTTGATCCAGCAATCCCACTACTGGGTATCTACCCAGAGGAAAGAAGTCATTATACAAAAATGACACATGCACACACATGTTTATAGCAGCACAATTCACAACTGCAAAAATATGGAACCAGCCCAAATGCCTATCGATTAATGAGTGGATAAAGGACACATACACACACACACACACACACACACACACACACACACACACCACAGAATACTATTCAGCCATAAAAGGGAATGAAATAATGGCATTCACGGCAACCTGGATGGAATTGGAGACCATTATTCCAAGTGAAGTAACTCAGGAATGGAAAACCAAACATCATATGTTCTCACTCATAAGTGGGAGCTAAGCTATGAGGATGCAAAGACATAACAATGATACAGTGGACTTTGGGGACTCAGGGAAAAAGGTGGGAGGGAGGTGAGGGATAAAAGAGTACAAATTGGGTACAGTGTAGACTGCTCGGGTGATGAGTGCACCCAAATCTCACAAATCACAACTAAATAATCTACTCATGCAACCAAACGCCACCTATTCCCTAAAGACCTATGGAAATAACAGAAGTAAAAAATAAATTTAAAAAAAAAACCTGAAATACAGAACTAGATGTGTTTTGGGGGTTTTTGTTGTTGCTGTTTTGAGATGGAGTTTCGCTCTTGTTGCCTAGGCTGAAGTGCAATGGTGCGATCTTGGCTCACTGCAATCTGTGCCTCCTGGGTTCAATCCTGCCTCTCAGCCTCCCAAGTAGCTGGTATTACAGGGATGCACCAACACGTCCAGCTAATTTTGTATTTTTAGTAGAGATGGGGTTTCACTGATCAGGCTGGTCTTGAACTCCTGACCTCAAGTGATCCACCCACCTGGGCCTCCCAAAGTGGGGGGATTGTATGCACGAGCCACTGCACGCAGCCAGATGTAGTCTTTTGTTACAATAGTTGCTAATGCTTCAAACCTTAAATTGAAGAGATGATATTAAATTAGAACCAAGTTAATGGCAAAGTGCAGTCTGATAATGTAAAAAAATGACAAAGCTGGTATTATAAATTAAATCATATCTAACTTTGTAACTCAAGAACTGCTCGATTTTTCATCCCTAGAAATGATATCTCAGCTCTTGCTATTAAGCCAAGTTCTTGCTTTCAATGCATGTATAGCTTACCACTAGAAACACCTATAGCTTGTCAAATAAAATATATAAAAATTTACACTATAAATATCATGAAAATTTTTCCTTATAAAGGAGAATGTTGTTTTCAGCTTCAATGTCTATTCAATTTCTATTTAAAAATATTATCAAGATAGGATTTACATAATAGAAACATTTCACTATCTGGAAAACAGCTTGAGCTATAGTTGTCCAATAAACTGTTGCCAATTAACAATTAACCTAGGACTATTTTAAAAGATATGTGAAAACATTTTATGACTATCATACTAATTATATTTATATGCAAATAGATAGCTCCAAGTACTTGTAAAACATATATGAATATATGGAAATACATATACATGAATGTATATATGTTTTACAGGTACTTGGCCTATGTAGGCACAGCCCCTATAGTCTTTGCATTGCTGACTTGCTTAACAACCTCCACTCTCTCTTTTTTCTGATACAGATAAAATAGGAGTAAACTTCCACTCAAACCCTGTCTAAATGACCTCAATTAGTAGAGGCTGAATTCACAGTGATTTGCTAAACACACTTAGCCACTTCAATAATAAACTTAAATAAATGGATTTTGAGTAATATTGCTAAATGAGATTTTAAGCATAACTAAGTATGACATTTGTGGAATGGTACATTATTTCCCAGTTCCCTTGGAAACAAAAGGAGTGAGCCGTTTAGTAAGGTAATGGCTAACATTTGATAACAATCTCCGATTGTGTAGCACTTTATCCCATCAACAGGAAGTACTCTGAGACTCACTGTAACTGGAAGGAGCAAGTCCCTCCTGCATTTGTCGTTTTCTCTCAATTCCAGGTCCTCATCCTGTTCTAAGTCTCTCTAGGGTTGCGGATTGTCATTAGTTCCACATGTCACCTAAGTGTTTCCAGGAGTTCAGCAACTCAAACCTTTCAAGCTTAAGATCAAGATGTTCCCAAGTCAACAGCAGGGTCTGAATGCCAAGTATTCAGGTCAGAAAAGAAAAAGTTACTCAAGTCTTTGAGTACAGGATAATAAACTACTATATATTCAGTTCTTTCTTCAAATTTAAAGTGCTTGAGCTCTGAGTCACAAGGTCCCTGGTACATTTATTACAGGGTCTGGAGCAGAACAAAATTGGAAATGAGTAACAGTTATATGGTGGCATAATGTAAAGCTGGATGTGATCCTTGGAGTTTTTGAGCTGAGTGTCACACTTCTAGTGTCGGGAGATGGAGCTGGAAGCCCGTGGTGCTCACAGGGACTTTCGTGAAACTCACATGGCATCAACAATGTTCAGTGGCTGCTAGGATTTTTGAAATATCCCAGAGAAACAATAAATAAATTCCATTAGGAAGAATCAAAAGAAGAATCTAATACAAAATTTTTTTAAAAGGCCATTACGTGTTGAGACTTTTTTTTCCCCTGATGAACTCTACCTTTCTGGTCATTGCAAGGTCCGTATTAAAGCCTTGTTTACTGGTCGACTGCTCGTATTTTCAGTGAGTTTCACTCCTGAAGAGGTTCTTCCATTATACTTTGCTCAGGGGAAAAGATATGGCTTTGGCGAGGCAGGTGTGAGAATTAAACAAGAAGGTCATGCTATTCTCAGAGAGGAAGAGCTGTTTCACCACAACCTCTCACCACACCAGCTGAAATGGCAAAAAGAATTCTTCTCACACAGCAATGTTCTCAGAACCCCATCAATCATTTGTTTATGTTTCTTTCAACAGATCTCACCCATCATCTGTTTTAGAATATATAATTTTAGGGGTTAACTAGGTGGGTTTAATTTTTTCAGAATAAAAGAACCAGTTACCTCTATCAAAGTTACATAGTTTTCATGTAAGTGACTTGGAGGAGTAAAATCATGCTGAGAAATATTGGCTTTCAAAAGGATCAGTTACACGAAACTCAACAACATTATATGGCAATCTGTCAGACCCCTGATGCCTTTGTTTTTTCTTTGAGTCATAAGCATTTCTAGGATTTAAAACTTTGCTGCTTCATTCAACAGGATCTTAATTTAAAAGATCAATAATATCCAGGAAAGCAAGTTTGTTGATCAATTTGGAAAACTG